AGTTTGACGTAGCAGTTAAGGCACCAAGCTAGACTGTGAGTGCTACAGTAATCCTGCCTGAGACACAAAGCCAGTCACCCTCTCTCAGCCCTAGGAAGAAAGCAAGGGCAAAACTTCCAAACAAATCCAGACAATTGACATGAGTCAAGAATGACTTGAAGCCCCCACACCCCAAAAAACTGGGAATAATTTTTTTTAGAAGCAACATATACAAAAACATATGGAAAAGCACTTGGAAAAACCACATTAAATCACATCACGGTGTTTTGCAAATCTAAATTGGATTTTTTTTCCCCCCAGCGATTCCTACAAAGAGGGATAGAATAAATCCCAAAAAATTCCTGATACTGACTCAGAGTGTTTCTCTCTCTAGCTCAGGGACGGAACACATTTATTTTTGAGGACGTGGGATAGTCATCACACTTTATTCATTTTTTTAAAATGTTCTCCAAGGAATGTGAACGTCATTGCCAACGAAGAATTAACATCTTTGGAATTAGGAATGGTTAATTCCTATATATTTTGAAAACAGAAAAAATATAATTACTTTATAGCTGAAATCGTTTTAAAAAAAGAGAAAGAAATATGCCTGAAAATCATTAGATATGTGGATTTTTGTTTAAAATTGCTCATCAGCCTACTGAAAACGGATATGTTGCCAAGAAATTTCGACAAGTGCAACTTCGGCAGTTTCTGGCCTGCAAGTGTCTCGCAGGCTGTTCGCCCAATCTAGTTATGTCTTGTCAAAGCTGATTTCAACCCTAAATTCCTGTAGGTTTGAGGCAGAAATGTTTCTACTCGGAGATGCCAGGGACTGAATCCAGGACCTGGATGCAAAACCGGATAGAGTGCAATTGAACTATCTTGTCTCCCTCATCTTTTGAGGGCCCCTGTTTTACAATCTTGTGACATTTCTGTGAATCTGACACTTTTCTTCAAGATGAGCTGCATTCTGCCATCAGCGTTCTTTAGCGCATCAAGATCTCAATGGCGTAGAATTGATTGAGCACGGAATGCAAAGGCGACGCTGGCATGATCTCTCCTTTCATGCGCCTGTGTATATTCAATCAGCCTAGGAACAGATTTAACTTGCATATTCAGTGTTTTGGAAAATTGTGTTAGGGCTGCTGTCTTGCTTTGATTCATTTTCCCTGCACAGTTTTGCCCACACTTACCAGCTGTGTAACCTTTTGAAGAGCAAGTTAACTCATTTGGGTGAGTTTTACAGCTCTTGCCGAGCGAGCGAAAAATAAAATAAAACAAAAAGGAGAACATATTTGTTCGGCATTTGCGAAAATCTTCAAGGCTTGCAATGTTTATCTGCTTGCGTGTCTCACATTATTCCTTAGGTGATGCTCAGCATCTAGCAAAGAAAATACATCTTTCTTTCTTTTTTTTTTAAAAAAAGTATGTTCTAGTAGACAGCCATCTGGTAGTTCAGGAAAAGACCTTATATTTCAACCTTGATTTTCAGGCAGGCATCGTGGAAGGTCTGTTTTCAAATTTGTATGTTGTGACAGAACATCCTGTGTACACAAGGTAATGCACTTTCATCCACTTGGCTTGACTTAATGATTTCAAGTGAGATAGGATCACCCATTTTCTGCCTGCTATCTCCAGGTAGTTGAAGAAAGACAACGTTGAAAGAGTCACCCCCTCTCCCCAGAAATAAAAAATAAAAATGGTGATGTCTTCCTTGTTTTTACCCTGTGCAGAGATCATGTTAATAAATATGTGGCTTACTGAAACAATATATCAACAGGATTTGGTCTCCAGGAATTTCCTCCAACAGTTTATAGAACCCTATTGTACTTTTGCAGTGGGATCTTGAGTTTTTGGCTGCATAATAAGGGGGAAGAACAGTGAAAATCACAATGGTGACAAAACTGCTCTCTGTGCTATGTTGAAGAATAATAACTGAGGCTGTGCAGTGCTGTGAATGTGAAGGGGGAAAAAATGCTATGGGGCATATTTGAAGGGTTTGTTCTTTTTTTCTTTTGGCCTTTGAATGAGTTCTGACTATAGGAGAAGTCCATATAATTTTCTAGGCAAGATTTCGGAAGTGGTTTGCCCTTGCCTTTTTCTTCCTGGTCCAGGGAGGGAACACAATTCCTTGGTTTCCATGCCTAAGTCAGGACTGGAATTCAGATTTCCCTGCTCCTAGTCCAACTCCTTAAGCACTAGACCAAACGGGCTTTTGTGTAGTGCCTGTCCTGTGGGCAATTTCTTAAAGCAGATTGAGATCATGCTTTTGGAAACATCCCTTTGAATCCAATATGCTGCACAGACCTAATAAAAACACAAGGAAAGCATGGCTGAATCAGACTAAATTTTTCTCTGGCCAATTTCTTGTTTCCCATCCATCCAAGAATCTGGGTTTGTAAAGTATCTCTAGGAGGTGTTTGCACATTCATCCTGAAGATAGTACATAATCCTCACAATCAGTTTTCTTTAAAGTCTTGTTACTGACACCACAGCTATCCCCAGGCTTAAATGACTTCATTCTATATTTGAGTGTTACATTATTCAAAGTTTTCATGAAATTATATAAATTGGAGAGAATGTGATGGCACAACTATTGGAGGTTGAAGAAATGCTGGCAACCCACCAAGAATATTGTGATCTCAAACAAATGTGTGAGCTTTTATGCTAGTTATATGATCAAGCCAGTAGCAAATAGTTAAAAAATGAGTAAGAATTCAGAGGTTTTTTTTGTGAAATTGTCATGATGACAAGAAGCTATACTGTAGGTAGATATTAAAAACTTATCTAAGATGAATAGAGTTCTTAAATGCCAATTCTGCCTTGAACGCCCTTCCTTGAAATACAGGAAGAACTCGGAAACTTCAGTCTTCAATTTCCAATCTTACTATGCAGATGAAATGTGCTTGTTTATATGTACATTCAGTATATGAGATAGACAAAAAGCCGCCTAAATTTGCTTAGAAACAGAAATTGCTATTCAAAAGACATCAATCAGTACTGGAGTGAGTTCTTGTAAAGAAGAGAAAAGTGATGTCAATCTATACCTTTCATTCCTATGAAGACAATGGGACTACTTTGGAATATACACATTATATAAACTAGCGTGGAACTATTTTACCATTAACAAACTTTTAATTAATTTAAAATTAATAAGTGTACACACGATTGATTAAATATACATTTAGTATCGTATTTAGTCACAATATAATATAAAGCAAGATAACATCATTTAGATTTTTTTCCCTAGCATTTTTCTCGCAAATGCTAGGTCTGCCTTTTTCTGACCAACCAAGTGTTGATCCATTGGTTACCACAGGAATTGACTGGCCAGCTTGTTGCATCAGCCTGGCTAAGAGAGAGAGTGGCTGGCCCAAAGTCACCTAGCTGGCTTTCATGCCTAAGGCAGGACTAGAACTCACAGTCTCCTGGTTTTTGTCCTACTGCCTTAAGTACTAGATATATCAAATAAGTGGCATTTTATCTTTTCCCCTCCTACTTTTAGTTGCAGATCTTTCTAACCTTTGTTCGCATATATCTAGATCCATCGGAAGAGAACCAATGTGGAAAAATGGCAGCAAAATGGTGACCAATGGGAAGGGAAAGGAATAAGAGATTTCACTCTTTTCCTGGTCCCAATACTCTCCTTTTGAAATAAATTTGCCACTGGAAGTGACTACTGAGATTTTATTTTATGATTTGGAAAATAATATTCCAAAATATTCTCTTTTGGAAAAATATTTCTAAGTCTCTTTGTCCAGATGTGTTTTGCTTATGGAGATTTTGTAGAACTTCCTTTTGAAATGAAGTTCAGTATTAAATTCCATGAAAACTAAAAGCAAGATAGCTTGTGGAACACCTTTCACTGAAATTGCAGAATTATGATGTCACATCTTGTTGCTATTATTATTCAACCACAGCATCAGCCAGTAGTTATTACTCAGGCACAAGAACTGACTGAATAATTTCAGACTTGGGTTGGATGAAGCCTTGGGATCATAGAGTTGGGATAGATGGATCTTGCATTCCTATGAAGAGTAACAATTTATTCTATTAATTATTCTATTCACACTTTCTGAACCCAAATATAAACCAAAACTGCAGGCTGAAAATTTCACTTTTTACATTTTGCCATTTTAAAAGAGGGCACAACTATGTACGTATGCTTAGAGGAAAATGTGCACTCATGCCTACTCCTCAAAGGACGGAAAACTATTATAAGAAAATGTATACCACTAAGTATATGATGAAATTCTGCAGAATTGTATGCAGGTTTTTTTGTGCAGATTAATTCCTAACCAGTTTGATAATTGAAATGTTGAGAAATGGGATGAACTGAAAAGAAAAGGTTAGAAAAATTAGAAACAGAGGAAATTTGCTATTCTCCAGTAATATGGGTTGGGCCTAAGACCAAAGAAGCAAAAATATTTGTCAGTAATATGGAATCTGCTTCCAGTGCCCCCCCCTCTCTTAGACAACTGAGTAATACAATTTTTGAAACCTGAGCTGAAAGGCAAAACAATAAAAAGAAATACTTTTGGAACCACCTCTGAACTAACAAAATGATCCTTTGGGAGATAAGATTTTCATACTTGAGTGATTTGTCCCAAAGGTGCTTTTACAAAAGGCAACTGGACTTTCTTAGCTCTGGAGCACAAAAGACAAGTAAGTCCAGTTAACTTTTGGAAAAGCACCTTTGGGACAACCATGACCTGGATGACTGAGAATCTCCATAGACACTTGAGTGACTTGTTCATTTTTATCATGCTACCAAGTGGAAAATGTGTCATCTATTGAGTTCTAGGTACCTCTATATCAGCTGGGTAGAAGGTGGACAGACTCCTAAGTCAGAAAATGGCTTATGATGGTAACCTTATGAATGCCAATAATATGGCTATAGACTCTATTAAAAGTTGACTTAGATTAGCAGAGGAACAGTATACCTAATATTCTCCTAACTCATCTGTGCTTGTTCTTTTATCCCAAAACTCCAATTGTATCAAAGGAGATTTTCTTACTTTACTGGCTCCCATGATTCCCGCTCAAAGCCCCTGTGAATGGACTGGGCAATAGAGGACTCCATGAGATCGACATATCTAACCACAAGTGGAGCAAAGAGATCTTGGAGGTGTTTGTGGTATTTTCCATTGCACAAATTATCTAGAACAAACAAACAAAAGCACAATAAGACACTTTTAGCAGCATTCCACAATAACACAGTGTATTTTTTTTAAATATAACTTTTATTAGGACAAAAGAACTAAAATCAAAGGCCCTGTCAATAAAAGAATCTCCTGTCAATTTATTTATTCTAGAAACATTTTAATATAATCAAGGAAATAATACAACCCTGGCACTGATTGTTTTTGAGCAATACTTAAGAATCACTTGAGTAGAATTTTGGCTACTCCATCTAAAAAATTAATATACTTTTTAACATTTTACGTTAAAAATAAATGTGAACATAAATGTATATATTTAGTTTCAAGAAGCTCATCCATTACAAAGATATTTAGCTCCAAGAAGCTCATCTATTACAAATATAAATAAATAAATATAAACCATAAATATATGGTTTCATTTAGAATTCTAAGACCTCTTGGAAACTTTAATTTTTTTTAAAAAATGAAACTTTTACATCAATATGGAAAACTAAAGAAGAAAGCCCAAACTTATCAGAAACATCCTTTCTGTATCTTTCTGAATAAGAATGCTTGGATACATGCAGTATAGTCTTGTGCAAACTTATTTGGGAGTAAATCCCAGCATATTCAATAGGAGTTAATTTCTATCAATTGGATCTATTACTGGAGATTTAAATTATTACTGCCAACCCACTCAGAATCCCAAGAGATGAGCTTAGGAAATCAAGCAAGTGTTTTTAGGCAGACTGACATCTGTGCAAGGTGAATGCTTCAATTTTCTCACAAGTCTATTTGTCACATTGTGTTCAATACCCTTTGCTTCCAAAACCATGAGAACAGTGAAAGAAGCCATAATAAATAAAATTAACAATCCAACTAATCCAATAATCCAAAAGAAACGTCTGGGCCATTTTTTCAATAAAAACTGCTCTTTGCCTTAAATTGTCAAACAATACTTCATGTCCACAGTGAAAACATTGCCTTCAAAAGTACATTGTAATATATTCCTGTAAGGAGATGGTGGTAGATAAGGAAAATTAAAGTGATTGTGTGAATCCAACACATCAAGAGCACTTAAGGGGACCCTTTTGAACAAATCTATGTCATTTAGTTTGGGTCAAAACCTATCTTGATTTCACCTTTTCAGAAAAGTTCCATTACTTTTTTTTAATTTGGTTCTCAGAAAACTTCCAAAAGTGACAATAGTGCTGCTTTTGTTATTCTTTTATATTATTTTTTTTAGATACCTATGACTTTTTAATAGTTTTTATTTATTTGTTATTGTTTAGGATACTTCAGACATTAGGGTATTTTTTCCCCTATTTTTTTTACTCCATCTTTCTATGTGTGTTTGAATTCTCTTCTTAAACAACAAAGAAAACTCTGCTTCACTTAAACTTAAATCTTTTTACGTAGAAGTCTCAGTGAAGAAAAATATGTCTCTCTAATCTGCATGTTTCCCAAGTTGTTATGGCTCTTGCCTACCTTTTTTTAAAAAAAAGGCAAAATTTTTTGTTTTACTGTGTATAATGCTAAAAAAACCAACAATTTGTTCCTAATGCAAATCTCCCCATTTGCACACAGATGAGTAAAGCTTTGTAAATGCCACAAGTAAGTACCAGAAGCGGCTGTCACAGTCTTTTCTTTGGTCCCCTGGGTCTTCTGATTTTTGAGGTAACGGAAGGAGGTAGATTCTCTTTACAAGTCTGCAACCATTTCTGCAGTCTCCCCAAATGGGTTTGCATGCAATTAACATGACCTACCAGCTGATTGAAGGAGAAATTACAAAGCTGGTTGGTATTGCTTGTTTATAAATTGAAGAACAAGGACTGGACATCTTCTTTTTGCAGGAGTATGTGTATGCTCTGAGGTTTGGTTATGGGGTGCTTTGTGTGTGTGTGTGTGTGTATATCTGAATATACAATAAAAGTTTTCTTTCATAAACATTCAGAAAAATGAGGGCTCCTTGATACTCTCCGAGCTTGGTTGTTTTCTTGCAGACCTTTCATTACCCAAACTAAGTAACATCATCAGTGCTAGTCCATTCAGAAAACCACAGCAATTTGTGAAGTCACTTTAAGTGACTTACCTAAAAGGTTAAGTGAGGAAGAACTGGAAATCAGTCAAAAACAGCATTAGCCCAACCCTTTTATCTTCATAGAGAATAAATTAAATGGCCAAAGTGCAATACATACAGTCACTTCGAAGGGAATCATTTAGAAGCTGAAACAGTGGAAAGCTGTCCCAGGTATCTGGAGGCTGGACCTCCAGCGCAGCATCCATGTCTACCGCAAACAACGAGAGGAAGGTTTCCGCGTGTTCAACCATTAAGTCTGACCACCAAGCAAAGGCCTTGAAAAGTTGTAAAACAAAACACAATTTAAAGAAAATAAACAGAAGTGTTATCAAATTAGATTTCACGTTCGGGAGGCCTTAAATAGTAAACCTAGTGGATATCTTATATAAATCTAGCTTTATTGTAAAGCAAACAGTGGTACAAATGCTAGCATGTTGCAGTTATAATGCAACTAGGGTGCAACACAGCATCTGCTTCTCAAGAAGTAACTTGTCAGGGAGCAAAAGAGACATACAATCTTCCATGTCTGCACTTCTAATAATGGAAGTGCACCTGTTCGGTTTACAATAAATCACTTAATTCCTTGTGGATCATGCTCTTTCTTAAGAGTTCCTTGTATAAAATATATCACATTTGGGAGTTTCTTCACTGTGTTTGTAGGTTTTCTGCTTATTTTTCCCAAGGAACCCTCCATAATTATTACTGTAAATTACCAAGTATGAACATTAGGGATTTAATGGCCACAAAACACCCCACATTTCCCGTTCAAACTCAGCTAGTGGGTTAGTTTTCAACATAAATTAGTAAATCACAATGAAAAAACCTCCCGCATGATATTAGAAGAGCTATCTGCAGTCAAGCTAGGATAAAATGACTAATAAATAAATAAAGTTGAAAACCAAGAAATATCAGTGAAGTAACTCATGGTCATGCGCACGGTCCTCAAGAAGTCACTGTAGAGCTTCTCTGAAATGACATTCACATCATACATGTCTCAGATGTGAATGTGCTAGGAACACATGCACGCGTGTTTAAAATCACTTCTGGCTTAGGAACATGCAACATGAGTGGTGTTGTCAATAGGACCTTGTGCAGCAATGACTAAGCAATAAAAAAATTACTAAGAGCTCAATGCCTGTGTACAGTTAAAAAAAAGTCATTGTTATTTTCTAAAGAGTTAGAGTATTCTGACAGTCGAGGCAAGGGCGAAGAATATCTGGTTAAATATATATCACTGAAACCCTGCTCCATAATCCATGTTCTTGCAGGTAATCTTCCCGGTGATTACCTCTGAAATATAGAAAATACTCTCCTGAAAACATATATGTATTAGTCTTGTTTAGCCTCTTTTCAGAGACAGATGAAGACTTCTTAATTTTTCCGGGCACTGTAATCTTAGCTGGAAATGATTATTTCTATTTTTCTAAAATTTTGTATTAGTTTACAAGAGAAGCACAAATGAATAAACTTTGCATATCCATTCCCTAGAACAGGAGTAGGCAACCCTGGCTCTTTTATGACTCGTGGACTTCAAATCCCAGAATTCCTGAGCCAGCCATGTTGGCTCAGGAATTCTGGGAGTTGAAGTCCATGAGTCATAAAAGAGCCAAGGTTGTCTACCTCTGCCCTAGAATGAAAAGGACAAATCAGTACATAGCTAACATAAATTCTTCTGATCTCAAGGAGACTGAGGTATATATCTTTCGCTGAATCTTGCTAATGTTTCATTGGCAGAACATATTTCCAAGAAGAGAGTTTTGTCTTTCATGTTCCTTAGTAAATAGGACAGGGATCTCTGGAACACAGTAGACAGAGGACTAGAGGACTTGTAGAAGGGGAAGGGGGATACTCCACATTATTCAGTGGAACTCCCATATGGGTCAGATGGCACTATGTAATGTTAGGGGGATCTCTTTAATTCTCCATTCTAGAGACCATTCCTCTCATTTGGGAGCTTTCTGCAGCTTGTCAGATGAAGAAAGCATTGAAGAAGTTAGCTTTTCAGAATTCCATTCTGCCAGCATGACATTGGAATTTGATGCTTGTGAACATTTTGGGGTTGGTTTGTTTAAAGTTCTTGAGATATTTGGAACATAATATGAGCTTTTAAACTGAAACTGAATTATTAGTTATTTATATTTAATATCAAGAAAGAGGACAGTGAGAAAAAATAGAAGAAGATTCAACAGAAATGAATGAATAGGCATTGTTTCTAAAACTGTTCTTAAGTGAAATCTAGCCATGGATATTAATTTTAAATGTCAGTTAAAAGATACAACTGACATTATAAATATATCAACTCCCTTTTATAGAACAATTCCTTGTCAAGTAACTGTCTTCTATTAAACCATTACTATTTTGGTAATTTAAGAACTTTATTCAAGAAGTAATTATAATATGGATGAGATTCATTACCAACACCGTATTTTGAAAAACACAGGCAAAGGCGTATTAGAAGCAATGAACTGATACATCCTATATCCTACATCTTTATTTAAATAATGCTTTTGGTCCTTCTGTTTTCACTGGCAAATGTTGTCAGTATGGATCAAAAATGAGAACAATTCTAGTATAATTGAATAAATGCCATCAAACTGTAGATTCCCTCCAGAATTCTGGTATAGCTAATGTTTTCCTAAAAGCAGGAAAGCATTTCTACCAATATTGGTCATTTTTATATAGCTCCTAAAGATTAATATTAATGTCATAAAATATAGGGAACTCTATAATATATACATTTTATGACATTAATATTAACTTTTAGGAACTATATCAATGATATCAACGGCAATAGAATTACTTTCCTACTTTCTATAACATCACCTTTATACATTACAATGAATGATTCCTATAAGGTCTAGGTTTTAAGAGAAAAAATTCTTCTACTGTATACTATTGAAAGTTATATAAATTCCATAAGAAATGAGGGGAAAATTGCTATTCGACAGTTTTATTTTGTCTAGGAACCTTGTTTCCATAATAGCCAGTATTAGAGTTTCATGAGATTTCTAGAGATTCAATCCAAATAATTCTGCATGTTCTCCAACTAAAATTTCCAACAAAGGTTATTAATAATTCTGCCTTTATACGTTGTATAAATCCAGTCTAGTGGAAGAGCAATGTAATTGTATTGGCATTTTGAGACAACATGAACACATTTATTGCAATCCTCTATAATGTTAACTGTTATATCAAAACCAATAAAAAATCTTGTGGCATCTAATGATTAACTTTTTAAATCTTTTAACATTAGTTGTGGATTCTAGATTGCAAAATCTCACCGTGTAATAAGTTTATGCTACTCAGAACTTTTTTTGAGATAATTAGTCTAGAATTCAACCATTATATACCGTTTTCATAAGTGAGAAAAAGAGCCAGTGCTTTTGAAATTCAAAGAAAGGAACACGGTCATTTATGTAAAAATGTTTTTTTAATTTTTTTTTTGTAAATAGTACTGAATTTGCATCTAATAATAAATCTGCTTTCTCAGGTCCAAGCTATCATCCTGAAATCTCTTTCTGAAAACGAGAAAAATCACATTGCTATTCAAGAATATCATTCCCCAATAATAAAATTTACTTTGCCTTGACTTACCTTCTTTATAATAAACATACAAAGGAAATGCAAATCCTACATCACGAAACCTATGATTTATTTGACCATACCCATGAAAATTCATGTATATATGCAAGTTTTCAAGAGATAAGTACATATATACATATTCATACATATATACATATGGAGAGAGAATGATAGTTTCAAAAGCCTGCAGTAAATAATGGTTTTAAGGGTCCCTGTATGTAATTTGCAAAATAGATCCCCCTTCCCATTTTGGGGAAAAAAAAGGGAAGTCAAATGTTATAGAGCTAAAAGGCTATCTGCTATATTATTGAAAACTGCTTAGATCATAGCATGTCCCACAGACTCATTTAGAATTATTTTAAACAGCAGATTTTTACAAAGTGTTTTCATGACTCAGGCTTTTTTGGAATCAATTTCATATATCTTTGTATGTCATATACATGCATACTAAGCAGCTTCTTAATTGTTTTCTGGTAATGCTTATTATTTTTGACAAACTGACTTTAAACTAACTTAAGATAACATTTTTCCTGGTAATTTTTTGGTGCCCCCTTCCCCTTTTTTCTGATTACTTCTTTTTGAATGCTGTTCCAAATACTCCTAAGGCATTTTACATAATGTGCCTGCTGCCTGTATATTTTCATTAATAATTTCAGCCTTCCAATGGCAAATCATTTTGGGGAAGATCTTTAAGGTCTGAGAATGACGTGTATAAATACTTATAAAAAATAAGCACACCAATGTGTCTCATAAGGTACAAAACCAGTGACTTCCCCCCTACAAAGTTTGGTTATTTTTCCCATCAGCCTTGAAGCATAAAATGAACAGGGGTTTACTTCCCAATTGTGTTTGTTTCCTATCAGAAGATTACTGACCCCAGGGGTCTCTCCTAAGCTTTTCAGATAATGTTACCGCAAATGAGGTTGTGTGAATGTATTGGAGATGGCAGGAATTTCCTTTGTTAAGATTCTTGCAGCAATTCAGGATCTGCATTTTAGGTCTCATGGCCATTAGCCATGGAATGTGCGCTTTGAAGTCATCACCACTTGCCTTTCTGAAAGAATAACGATAGAATAAGACTTTTCTTATCTTAACACAAGACGATTTGTACCAAAGTGATCGTGTAGTTGGAAACAACATGGTTTCCCTTAAATAGCCTATTTCCATTCCCAAAAAATGCCCTTTCGGAGTTACACTGCTATTCTCTACCCTCAGCTATCTGAGAACAGATCTTGCTACCTCCTCAAACCTGTATAATCTCTCTCCATATATAAATATTGTATATACTAAAACAATACACACAATGAAAAAAAAATCCAGAGGGTAAAGTGCTGTACTCCTAGCTACTTCTTTCTCATTCATAGATATTACCAGCAAGGTGAATTATAAATCAGGTGTGTGCTGAGCAACAGGGGTAAACAACAGGCTGAGGAAAGAGCCCAGGCAGGTAAGACAGGTGTTGGGATGTAACCGCAGTGCTTGTAAAAGTATACCCATTGCTACATGCAGGGCTGGAGAGCCTCCCCAACGTTGACCTGCGATGTAGGGCTACAGTTCCACAAGCAATTGAAACTGAAGTTGCTGTTACATTCCTTGAATCCAAAGTTACAAAGCAAGGATTACCCAGGGGAGATCCCATTAGGAAACATGGCACTGAGAGGGCATGCACGAAATATGACAGGAGGCAACTCAGTTCATTCAGGTTGAGTGACATACCTCTTTCCCCTGCCAGGATCATCCAAGATTGAATAAACAGTAGAAAAACAGGGAGGAAATTTAAATAGGCAATCAGGCATTAGTTGGGACTGGTGGTGTGCTACGCGCTAGAAATAAATTAATTTTACATTGTTTTTATTAGATAGCTATTTTAGGTTTTATTTTAAATGTGAAATTATTTTTCAAAGGTTTTTTTTTTAATGCAAGATAAAAAAAACGTCAGTGATAAGGAAAGCAGAAAAGAGGGAATTAATATTACAGGGTTAAAATGTATAAGCAAAGGTTCATTTTATTGGAGTTTTAAAATAATGATTTATAAAAGCTATATCAAGTCATTGCAATTTCACTGAATCCTGGAATTAATTTATGTAGAATTATGTCAACCTATGCACTCAGTATATGCAGCATGCACTGTGTGTTACATGGGTGCCATATAATAGCAAATCCATTCTAATCACAAAGCGGTCAGAATGTTATATATGAATTTGCTTAGGCTGAAACAGGATTGTTCTTAAGCTACAATTACCATTAAGAAAAAGGGTTGCCTGCCACTTTATGTAATCTTACAGACCGCCCTTCATCCACTTTGTTCTCCAGATGTATGAGGTCTACAATTTTCAGAATTGATGACTAACATTACCAAGAAATTTTGGGAGACATAGGGACAGTATATCTGAAGGGCATCAAGTTTGGGAAGGGCATGATACACCTTTAGATGTAAAATACAACTAGGAATGATTCAGTATCTGTCATATGAAACATGTCAGTCTCAAACTTTATCCTGGTCTGCTAAGTTATTTTCTCACTGTTTACCTCTAGGAATGGCCACCATGGGTTTGCCTAGCATGTTTCTAGGCTCTACAGCTGATATGAAAATGAACTGGAGGAGTATGATGCTACTCCTGGAGTACAAGAATCCAGAATGGACTAACCTAAGGGTCAGGTTGCTCCTCCAATTACTATAAATCAAACAGTGTGACTAAGCTAGTAGCTGAATCTGTGATCTGAGACTATGAGAAACCTTAGTACTTGTATTTTATGATATTAAACGAACCAACTCCTTCCTGAATGGCTTACAGCTAAAATTTATGTTGTTCAAGATTTCTAGCACTCCTAACTCATCACAAAGCTGCATACTCATGAAGTATGCTTCATTTCACAAGGCATAAGAAATGTTTAACTTCCTAAAATGTCTCAAAAGTTGGATTTCCAGAAAACCAGCAGTGGAAGATGACATGGGAGAGAGAAAGGAGTTATAGCAATGTTTGCAAATTCATTTCAATAATATCCATGGCTTTATATTTATTGGCTACCACAGCTATCTTCCTCTGAGCAATGGCTTGTTAATGACACAGTCTCATCACCTTATTATGTCTTCTTAGGGAGATTCACATCTCTGTTTGTAAAGCATATGGAAATTGTGCTGCTGGCAATTGTTCATGGGAGCCATCTCGCAATGAAAATATTATTTCTTGCAGATCTGGGCAACTTCTTTTCTTCCATGATTTTATCTCCCTAATCTTCATCATAGTGAAAAGGTGATGGAGGAAGAACTGTGCCTAACGTGAATTAAAACTATTACATTGGTTCTCAATATAGTTGTTTGTAGTTATGGGGTATTGCAGGCTCCTGGATACAAGTAGAGCTACAGATCAAATTTGTCTTGCAGGCAGAGCTCTCCATTTATCTCATGAGGCCACAAGTGACAATCTTATCTGTTTCTGAAACTCAGATTAATCCACAGAACTCCACCTTGTCTGTACAACAATTTCATGAAGCTGGGGCGATTTTAAAATAGTCTTCCTGAAGCTTTCACTGTCCTCTATACCTTTTAGTGATGCACTCCTTAGAGAAGGCAGAGAAGTGGTTCAAGGTGGAGATTCTCAATCATCCAGGTCATGATTGTCCCAAAGGTGCTTTTCCAAAAGGCAACTGGGCTCCCTTTGTTTTTTCCTTGAAAATATTTTGCTTCTCATCCAAGAAGCTTCTTCATTTTGGATGAGAAGTGAAAAGCTTTCAATGGAAACAAAAACCAAGAAATCTAGTCGCCTTCTGGAAAAGCACCTTTGGGATGCCTTGAAGTAGTAGCTCTCTGATGCTTTGCTCCCTTATTTCTTTGGGCGGGTTCTAACTTCCCTTTTCATATGTTAACATCTTAATATATGACTTTACCATCTCCTGCAATATCCCCTCTGAAATTAAAAGAAAAATATCAAGCTTGACTCCTACGACTTCCATGTAGACCTTTTGGCAGTAACATGGACATATTTCGCCCCTGCCTTCTTTCTTTTTCAACTTCCCGATCTAGCCTACAGCTCTGGGATTTCTGACTTTGCTTAGCTTTTTCGAGATAAAAGCTATCTGGAGGTTTGGCACCTTTTATGTTGTAATTATTCAGCTCTTAAAAGCATATGGCCCAAATCTGCATCATTATCAGTCACGGATAAGTGCATACAACTATCATGGAAAGCTGAATCTAGAAATGATAATTATTCAAGATGAAAATCTCCTTCATAGAATAAGGTTGTGAGACTTTTGTATAAAACCAAGAAGACGTTGCATTCTAGCACAACGTTTTTACATGAATATCTTCATTAGCCATCTTCTGTGAAAGTTAATATTGAAGCAGTCCTCAGGAACACAGTTTTTGCAGGGTCCCACACAAGAGGAATTTTCTTGATAAAATCGCAATCAGTGAGCTTGCATTGTGCCCCTGTTACTTGATGACATTTTTCAAATATATTTCCACGCAAAGTTGTATTTACTGAAATTCAGAGATATTTTGGGGAGAGAATGGATTGTCTTACTTAAGATTTACCTAGGACATAAAGCATTATGTCTGCAGTTTGCAGAGGTACACCCTTGCTTTAATAGTCCTTGATTGGAAAAGTTTAGCTGACTGCTGCTCACCTCTGCGTGATGTTCTTCATTTTGCTGCAGAACTTCAATCACCAATTCCGCCAAACGAATTGTATCTTCTAGCTTTTTGGCAGGCGTAATTAACCGACCTACATTTTCTGCAGTACAAGAACTTGAATTAAAATGGAGTGAGACAGAAGAAGCTCAATATAAGGCCAATCAATTAGGATTAATTAGTTAATTAAAAATTGTAATAATTGCAATCTGAAAAAAATCTACATCATGCAAGGATTAAAATGCTATATAGTTAGTACTGAGCAAACTATGAAGCAACATTTGTTGTTATATTAAGAAAACAGCGCTCCAACATTGAATTTAAAACGTATATAAAGATTGCTTTCCTTTGCACTGATAGCAAGTATTTAACTGAGAAACTGAAAAATGTAGAGAAATTTCCTAGAGACAGCATCTTTCTGGTATCTACATTAGGACTATTTAATTTCACAGTTGATACATACATATATCTGTGCTCTAGATTTGAAATTTTCACAATTTGTGTATTGTATAAAATAATCTAAGAATTAGTAATGTTGAAGTGGCAGATTAAAATGAGCTCACCCTATTTTGCATGAATGAATTTATATTCTTTGAACTTTAGACTGGTAAAAACAGAAGAAGTCTCTCATGTTTATTTTTGAGAAATCTAAGGAGCTGGGAAAGGGGGTGGAAAGGAGAAAATGCTGACCAGCGACAAGTTAGATGGATTCAATTACAGTGGTGATAGTATATTATTAGAAGTCTTAATGGGTCAGGTTTGTGACTGATCACCCTTCTAACTATGTAATCTCTTAAATTTGATACCAGACAGATGGCACGTAATCAAACCATATCCAAGCCAAATCATTTAACTGAAATGGTTGTTCCTGTACCTTGATATAATGTTTGAATATGGCATGAATGTGTACAAAAGTATTTTTACATGTAATGTAAAAAATCCCTTCCTAGTTCATGTACAATTGTCCAGAATATTTTCATGAGAGTCCAAAGAACAGAGCTTTTTTTTTTTAACATTCTCCAAAACCCAGATCAATTATACATTAGGGATAGCTGAATCATATTATTTTCCTTCCTTCCTTCCTTCCTTCCTTCCTTCCTTCCTTCCTTCCTTCCTTCCTTCCTTCCTTCCTTCCTTCCTTCCTTCCTTCCTTCCTTCCTTATTTTAAATATTTATAGCTGCCCACCTTATATCAAACTCTGGGCAAGTCCCAATCAAAAATTAAAACAATCTCTATATTAAAACAACAAAATGCCATATTAAATATATTAACCCTGTAAACATTAAACTCTTATTGTGTGTTTAGTCCATAGGGAGATTCATGGGAGCCCTATTTCAATTATCTGGTTTTCTAAAAAAAAAAGAGCTCTGCTTAAAGTCACATGTAAATACTGTATAAGTTTAATATTTAATAAATATAATTGTTTATTCAATGTGGTTTTTTTTAGAGAAGAAAAGTATAAGTAGACAACTTTTTCATTCTACATTCCACTCCAGGGTCTCTGTCTCCCTCTTCTAGGTTTTCAGGAACCTGGCCATATGATTGTGTAATAAGCTTCCTCCTATCCTTGACCTCTGTGAAAACTTCATGGTCTTTAAAAGACATTAACAGATTCCTCCCTTTTTTTTTTTTTTTACTAGTGGGTGATTGTGTGGTCTCTTTCACCTATTCAATTCTTAGCAATGTTGTCAATTCCTTAGTTTGATTCCTATTTTATATATGTCCCTAAATTTTTATTGGATGGAAGTTTGTAATTATTGCATTTTCTTGAATTGTAATATAGCTGTTAAAGATGCTTCATAAATACAAATTATCATTATTGCTATTGTTGAAATTTGTTAAAGCAGTCCACTTCAGCTATTTCAGACATATGAAATTGCTTGTATATCTCCTCATGTCATATTGAAGTCTTCCATGACTTGTAACCAAGCTGAGAAAGTATTACAGAATTGCTGCTTATTAGAATAAGAAACCAGGAACTGATCATGTGCACCCAAATTAATCAAAGTTTGCTGGCTTAATCAATCAGAAACTGACTGACTGAATCACAACTTAAATGTCAAATTCAGGCACTTGACAAAAGGGCACAGAATCACAATTGTCTAGCAATTGGTAGTTTATTAGATCCAATTGATTTTATCTGAATCCAACTAGAAAGGATCAATGCACTTAACCATTTTTCCTGCATAGATTTGTCCATTTGTGAATCCTTTCTTTATCTCTTCTAAAAAAAACCAACAAGGAGAAAATGAAAAGCATTCTGTTCTTATTATTTAGATTGTGCAAGTTATCCAACAGACAACATTTTTCTGTGAGGAAGGAAAAAAAAAGGAAAGGTGCAAGAAAGAAATAATTCTGACAACAATCTTCCAATACTTTTTGGCTTGCTACCCAATTTGTGCTATACTAATTACTAGACCTTGGACACCCTTTAACTTGTGGAGGGAATATGTACTAAATATTTTATAACAAGTGATTTGCAAGATTCTGTCTCTAGGTAAAATGTAAATTCATCTCATACTTGATTTTCTTTTTAATAACGTTTTTGAGATAACTCCTTCAATTTATTGCGTTGTATGAAAATAGCTGGAGCGCTGCTCAATGAAACAACAGAGTTTTCAATAACTTCATACATCATTAAAATCATACAAATTCACAGGTCTCATGCAAAATGTTATGCAACAACAATGTTATTTTGTGCTGACGTTGATATTTGAAAATGTTGCTTATGTCAGACATTGCTAGACAGAAAATGTGGACATTTTGAAACCAAAGCTATTTCTAAAAGCATTGCACTAGCCATTTCTGGATAAAAGCTTATGGTGGGAATTAGCTTCATAGAATCTACGGTAAATTAAATGGGAAATGACTAAGCTAGCAATTCATTGAATTAAAAAAAAGAATTTTTTTTACAGTACTTGATTCTTGCTTAGGTATGCCTTTCAGCATCAGAATGATCATGTTAGCTTGTGTATTAATAGATGGAGTGGGCCCAACTGGGGCTTTGGGCGCTGACGATCGAGCTGTTTGCGAATGATGTTGAAAGACAGCAAAAATAAAGACACACGTGATTTCATAAACAGTGACAAAAAAAAGATGGTAACTTTGAAGGAAAAGTAAGCAGAAAATGATAAAAGTACACATGGAAGAGCTGCTGTTTTGCTTATCGTCAACTCAAGTACTACACAATTATGACAACAAACATTTTTATCTCAAGTTGACAGATTCCACTATGCGAGGAGAGTTCACAATCTAAGATCCTTAAAATTCAGTGTGAATGCTAATTGTTATTTCATGTAGCCAAGTGCAAAAAGCAGGATTTTAGTACAGTCAATTAGTTTTTTTTTTAATCAGCATGTGTCAAATGTGAAATAGCATTGCCAGCCTTTTGCACCCATATAGGGAGAAATATTCTCTCTATAGATTGCTCCCAGACATAGTCAGTATTATTAGTTGAAAAAAGAAGGAAGTTCCCCAAATAAATTATTTTGCAGACACCATGTTTTTTTAAAAAATAACAACACAAATTTGGGCTGAAGACATAGCTAAAAAATTCTTAGTGCAATTTAAATATGTACTCGGATCTCTCACTCCCCCCCCCTTAAAATGTGTGGTATCTGATAGTTTCCAGCTTGTTATTTTCCACTTGGAATTCTAGTGTCTTTTATACTCTGGGTTGAATCATATATAAAAATTTGCCAGTTCTATCAAATATGTTACTTTGCCATTCCAAATGTTAGAATACTACAAATCAGGACTTGACCCATCTGTCATATAGTTTGTGATATCAGTCTAAGGAAAAGATATATGTATGTATGTATGTATGTATGTATGTATGTATGTATGTATATATATGTATATAATATATATGTATATAATGTATAATATATATAAAATATATATGTATATAATGTAATATATGCATTATATATATATATATATATATATATATATATATATATATATATATATATATATGTAAAATATTCTTCTGTATTAACACAACAACATTCTATATGATGAATGTATTTGTCCTATATTTTATGTTATATTTAATTCAATATTTTAATAGCCAAAGCACTTTTCTAAACAATTCTGTCTTTAAAGATTTGGCATATTTATCTGGATGAATTACTTCCAGAACTCACTCACTCTCTCTCTCTCTCTCTCTCTCTCTCTCTCTCTCTCTCTCTCTCTCTCTCTCTCTATCTATCTATCTATCTATCTATCTACCTATCACTCTCTCTCTATCTCCCTCCTTGCATTTCCAAGAAATAGAAAAGAGAGGAAGAGAAACCCCAGGTTTGGTCATTTATTTTAAAAATCATTAATTTTAAGTGTTATAAAAAGAATAAAGGGAATACAAGTTCAAGATGGTACAAATACTTATCTATATAAAACAGGATGTCATTTTTCCATGCTATTCTTAATTAATTCTTAAGTTAAGAAGTTAAGTTTTTTTGGGATTTTTAATTAAGAATTAATTAAAAACCCCAATATTCTTAATTAAGAATCCCAATAAACTTCACCAGTTTAAACTCCATTTAAATCCAATGTCTGTGTTCTGGATTGTAATTTTATTTTAATTTAATTACAATCCCATCATGACATACAATTGAAATGTTTCGAGTTGAATTTAGCTTGGCTGGCCAACCAAAATGTAATGGAACATGTAACTAGAGATTGGATAACGGATGCTTTTAATCATGCTTGTTTTCATTTTATTGATTTATCACACTACTTTTTCTAAGGTGAATTTACAGGATTTCTTTTGCAGTATTGAGAACTAAATGAACTTTCTGGGAAGGGGAGGGGCAAGATATAATGTGGAGAACATGTAATGCTTGTGTCTTAGGTTCAATTCTTGCCATTGTGGTGACATATCTGAGCAAATCCTCTGCACAATGCAGATTTTTGAGCCCCTGTTCAAACTGCCACATAAACAAGGATGCCCTTTCTATTCCAAGATATTATTTTATTTAGGGTATTAGGGTTTTGAAAGTAGAATGCGTCATTCTACCGTTCTATCTCTTTCCTTACCATTCTCTTAGGTTCATATTTGCAAATGAGTAAACATCTGAAAAATCTATTGTAAAACAGAG